ATCCCCAGTCAGCAAAGTCTGTTCGAACAGATTTTACCAAACGTCTGCTACAAATTTTTGTCAGCAGAAAAACTGCAGATTGTATACAAAGTCTGTTATATCAGATAATGATAGCAGAATGTCAGCAGAAATATTACAGAACTTGCTGACATAATTTGACAGCAGATCAGTAGCAGAAACCGAGCAGGATTTGCACAGAATTATCATAGCAGATTGGCAGCAGAAACCAAGCAGGATCTGCGCAGTTTGATGCCAGATTGGCGGCAGAAACCGCGCAAGATCTACGCGCGCACAATCTGACGACAAATTGGTAACAGAAATCTAGCAGAATCAAACACAGAATATAACTGCTATATAACATGGGAATAACATCCCAGTCAGCAAAGTCTGTTCGAACAGATTTTACCAAACGTTTCTGTTTTATATTTTAAGCAGATAATAACAAACGATTTTCACTTATTCAGAAATTGTCCGAATAATAAATTAAAATCGGATATTATTTGTCCAATTTCCCAAAAATCAGTTTAATATCTGAATTTCCTGGTACGAGAATCGTACCAGAAATTGAATTGATAAAATTAATTACAATGTTATTAGTCGCATTTTGCAGGCTTTATATACGCTCATGACAAAAATTTGAATACGGGATAACATGAATATAACATGTTACTAAAATGTTATATGATTGTTACAGTCATGTAATAGTCCACTCAAGTAGCAAACTGACGTCACAATGGCAGTAAATTTTGGTCACAAGATGACCAATTAGACATCCTAAGTTAGATCTCATGAGACCCGAAAATGTCTCGTCGATATGTCACATCCACGAGACGTCATTTTCTGACGTTTGTTTGACGGCAAAACTAAGACCAATTACAGTAATAATATAACACATATTAATGTGATATATATTATAGGTAAATTTAAATAATTTAATTTATAAAATTAAAGATTTTATTTATATGGAAGTTAATTTCTGTTTTATATTTTACGCAGATAATAACAAACAATTTTTACTTATTCGGATAGAAATTGTCCGAATAAATTAAAATCGGATATTATCTGTCCGATTTTCTAAAAATCAGTTCAATATCTGAATTTCCTGGTACGGGAATCGTATCAGAAATTGAACTGATAAAAATAATTACAATGTTATTAGCCGCATTTTGCAGGCTTTATATACGCTCATGACAAGAATTTGAATACGGGTATAGATAGTAAATAGCGCGCCGTATAGCGGTAAGCAAATGAACTATAATCCCAATATTAGTTACAAAAGGACTTTATTTGGACGATCATAGGACGTCTTCAAAATTACATCTTTGGCTAGTCTAAGAAATGAGGTCTATTAAACATCAATTATTAGTCGCCAACATTGTAGACCAAAATTGGACGTCATTGAGCAACACTTCACATCATATGAAGATACCAAAAATTGGGTCGATTCGTGGATAGTCTCAAAAGATGTTACATGTAACAAATACGTTATATTACTTGTTATATTCCGTTTCATTATGGCAATGTTACAGTTATGTATCTGTGTTTGCTGGGTAGATTCGAGGAAAATCCCGAATGTATATACAATATATATAATAATAATAATAATAAATAGCCCCCAGTCTCACCTATGATACGTATCATATCAACGATTTCCTGTGGCGGATAGTCTGCCATACTTCAGAATTGATGAAAAGAACTTCCGAAGCACCGAAAACAGTGCTATGGTATCAAAATGAATCAATGTGATCTACTTGGTCACACAAAAAAAAGAAATAACTTGACTAGTGAAGTTTGGAAAAATGTTCCTTAATCCACCTATACAGAAGAAAATATCGAATAGATATCTAATGAATATCTACATATCCACCTGATGTCCATGTCTACTATGAATAACTAGTAGACATGTAATAGATGAATAAAATATTTATATCTGTCGAATAACTAGCGAGAATATCTAATGCATGTCTATACATTATCCATATATCCATGTCCACCAAGAAGCTACCGAAGATATCCACTAGACATACACGTGTAATCCATATATCCATGTCTACTAAGTAGTTACCAAAGATATCCACTAGATATACACATATGTGTTATTATATATTATTATTGTAATTAGTTTTAATTTTGCCATTAAACAAACGTCAGAAAATGATGTCCCATGAATGGGACATATTGATATGTCATGTGCGGGTCTCATAAGACCTAACTTTTAAAACATTTAATTAATCATTTTGTGATCAAAATTTAACCAATATACAATGGATATCTACATAATATCCACTGAATACTGATGTGGATGTCCAGTGGATATTGGCATACATATCCTGTGGATATTTATAAGATCTCGTATTGCGGACATTTGGATATTTAAAGCATGTCTAATAGATGTTTCCTGCATATTCATGGATATCCCTCATGTACATTGAGAACATCCAGTAGATATCTAATATACGTTAATTTCTGTGTGGGTTTAAATTTAAAAAATATTGAATATTGAAATAGTAAGAAATAAATTAAACGAATGCAAAATGTATATTTTATCATTAAAAAGAGAGTGACGAATTTTTAATTAATTCTCGTCGAAAAACTGGGTTCTTAGGTTTTTTAATTTGAAAGTGTATGCATGTTGTACGAAGAACTGCGTGAAAAAAACAAATTTTCAAAGTATTTACCTTTTTACGAACTAAGTCAAGATCATGTAGAATTATTGTTTGGATGTTTAAGACATCATGGAGGAGGAAATAATAATCCAACTGTTAGACAATTTAAAGCAGCCATGAAAAAAAATTTGGTTCATGCAGATGTACGTAGTACCAACACTGGAAATTGTATATCTTTAGAGGAAATATCAATTTTACACGTTTCATCAGCTGGTAAAATCCAACAGTCACAAGATATTATAAATTCCACCAGTAGATTATGAAGATTATGTGATGAATTTGAAAATTGTGATATTAATGAAAATTATAATAGTTTATCATTATTAAACGACCATTATTATATTTCTGATATTAGAGAAATAACAGAATTTTCTAATAATATTATTGAATATATTGCTGGGTATATTGTAAAACAATAAAAAAAATTTGCTTTGCAAAAATTGTTTAAACGTATTAACAGCAAAAAAAGAAAAAAATAATTTAATAAATAGATAAAAATCGCGGAGGACTGATATAACCTTCCGAAGAAGTTATAAAGATTGTTCGCAAATGTGAAACAGAAATTTGTTGTGCTGTTTATAAAAGCGAAAGATTTATAAAATTATATGTTGTATTGTTGAATATTATATTTATTAATGTATTGTGTTATATGTTGTATTATTGTATTATTGTATTGTATTATATGTTGTATTGTTGAATTGTATATTAGTGTAGTATTAAATAAATTAATAAATATTATCCATTTATTATAAATATTGGATATTATTAAATATTAAATATTAAATAATGTGCGCGAGTGAACGCGGGAGCGCGAGGATTGCATGAAATGGACACGAAAGTGTTTGTAAAAAAGGCAGTCAATTTATTTAAATCAATAAATAGTTCACAAGTTTTGGTTTCGATAAGATTTAAGCTAATCTTAACCGCGTTTGGCTCCGGCGAGCAACCGGGAGCGCAACGATAATCTCCGCGAGCGACGGATCGATCTCGGCTCAAATATTCGCAAGCGACGAATATTTAGCGACGGAGAGACCGCGAGATTGATATTCACGAGCGATGAATATCCTCGAAAACTAGCGAATTCGCGTACCACGAGCGATGGTATAAAAGCAAAGCGAGCTACTTAAACTTTTGCGAACGTTTTTGAAACGGAGAAAATCACACACTGTCTCGAATAAATCTCGATCGAGTGCGCCCGGCGGTTCCCCAAGAGAGCTTTTATACAAACGTTCTTTAGATTGTTTGAGAACCTTCTACGTATTTTAAGCGAAAATCGAGCCTGCTGTTGTTTGCGATGATTATTTAAAATTGAACGATGTTATTTTGTATTTGTTAGTAACTTAGGCTCTCCCGAGTGACCGCTGCGTGGCCCGCATCGATAGGCACGAGCGATGCTGCGGGCCTGGCGCGATTCGTGTAGCGCCGCTGTCTACTCGCGCTCTGATTTGTCGCGCGCCGTGTTCCGCGCGAGATGGACGCTAACGCGCCAATTTTTGAGCACACTTACGCCGCGCTTTGTTGTCGCGCTTGTTATGACAACTGCTATGAATTAATTATTATTTGTTCGGTTTCGAACAAATAATAAATATTAAATATTAAATGTTGAATAATAAGTATTAAATATTATAATTACATTATCATAATATAATTAT